GAGTAGAGCCTGTGCTTCAGTCAATGATGAGCCGCACACACTGATGATCAGCTGCTTTATTTAAAGACAGCAACTGTGGAGTTGCCTAAGCAGCCATGATCTTTTTGTTGAATACTTCAACACATGTATGTGTGCTATAGCTGATGATGAACTGCAACGATTTGAGTAAAATACATGTTTTTAGTTATTTAAAGTGTTTGTAGTTTTAAACTATGAAATATTCCTTCTCAGTGGGCTCAAATGAAGTAAGTTCACATTACTAACACTGTATGAATACTAGTATTTTAAACTCTAACTGTTTGAAGCAATTGGAGCAGAGTTAATTTCCATGGTAGTATAACAGTATCATACTGTAAAAATGAAGAGCTGTAAATGAACTGTAAATTTATGTCAGTAAATTACTGTTATTTAATGGCACAATTCACGGCATTTAGTTACCAGGAATTTCCTGTAAAATTACAATACATTTTTAACAGTGTATATTTTAGTGCTTATATAAATTAATTTTGATTGCTCGAAAAGCATTTTGATAAACTATGCTTTTTTTTTTAGTGGCAGAGATTGAGCAAGGCTTGGAGTCACTAGCAAGGGCCAGAGAGCAGGTCAGACAGGCTTATGCAGACATTGACCCAGATGTGGCAGAAATTCTGACAGATGCTGTCATCAACATAAGTGTCTTTTGATGGCACTTGGTAGAAAAGGGGCTTTACCTCACACTATGGCATTGGTGTGTGCATAGACCTTATTACAGGGCTTGTGTAACATCATCACTTTGAGGTACGATATCTATATCAGTAAGATCAATTCCATGCGATATAATTAAATCTAGTGTAACCCTCCTCTAAAGGGTAAGTACACATTAGGTTCGGATACTCAACTCAGGGTCACTGAATTCTAGAATAGTGAATGGCACAACCAGAAGTTATTGATAACCACACAAATTACCATTTTGCATGAACTGTACTGAAGTAACAAATATAACACAATTGTTATCACAAGAACATCAATAAAGTGTGGTGTGCAGTCAGTGTACGTGTCTCCTTCCTTTTTTCTTAAAGTTCCTCAGTCCAGTCTTTCAAATGACCAAAAAAAATTGTTTCCTTTAGTGGAAATCAGTTGTCTTTTGGTTCCAAAAACAAGTGAAGCAAAATAAAGATAAAAGAATTCAACAAGAAAAATGTTCTATCCAATCCCAATCTGTCCACTGAGATCCTACCGCAGTGTTATCACATGAGACATCCAGCAGCAATCGATGATCCAACGATCAAGGGTGGTTGGCTCGCCATCTTCCCTCCGGAAGAATTCAAATGCATACAAAAAACCTGGCCGAGATTCAAGTTCACACCTGACAAAATACAGCTTCAATCCAATGGTTCAAGTGTTCATTACGACCTCAAATCATCATTTTAGATTGATTATCAGTTTGCAATTTATGTAAATACAATGTCACAGTGAAATGACGTGACTTTACGCTAACTAATTAATAATATTCAACATAGCTTTTAACTATGCATACTATGCATACAACAAGTCGATAATACTCGCGTTTCTCAAATCACAAAATCACATTACGTGTCCTCAACCATGCATTAAAATAGTTGCTCAACATTACAGCATTCGTTTGTACACATCGAGGTGATAATTCTTTCAAAACTCACAGAAATAATTTGATCATAACATAAAAAAAAACATTAGAGACAAAATACAACAATATGAATCTCCTCTTTTAACTATTTAGGAGTTAATGTTAGATCGTTTAAACTCTTTAAGCTTGTTCACTCACCGAGATTCAAGTTCACACCTGACAAAATACAGCTTCAATCCAACGGTTCAAGTGTTCATGACGACCTCAATCATCTTTTTAGAGTGATTGTCAATTTGCAATTTATGTAAATACAACGCATTTATAGAGTAATCAATTCAAACTTCCCTGCATCTCCACGACAGATCATTTCATCACTCTCTGCCAATACTCGCTTGCATCGCCCCAGCAAAAGTGCAGAGCTTCTTGTTTTTTTCCACCAATAGCAAATTTCCATCTGCTAACACACTCTTGTTACCAGGCAGATTTTCTGATATCAGGTTTCACCGACCAAGGTGACTTAAAGGCACAATTAATGATAATGAGTTCATACAAATATGCCACAAAACCATTCATATTTTTCTTTTATAGGGATTTTGCATAGGGGTTACACTTACCTTCTCACTTGGGTCTGTATTCATAACATATGGAAAGATTGCTGCAGTATGCAAAAGAAGCAAAAACAAAGCATTCAACAGCAAAGCCATAAAAACCTGTGGCGCACACACAGCTGTTTATATAATCATGTTTGTTTCTTGTGCCATTGTGGTTTTTTTTCCATTGTTCTCCTCAATATTCTGAACATAGAAAACTAGCTAGTATAATGTTTAATTTAGTACCACCAGGACTAAATCCTTTAGTATATGGTATACAAACCAAAGAGATAAGACAAAGGGCTCTGAAACTTTGCTGCAGAAAAGTTAGTGTCAAGTAAATGTTTATTCTTATGTTTGAAAAGGGAAAAAAACTTTTATTCATATATTGCTGAGTACTATTTTGAAAATAATTAATTAAATCTAGTGTAACCCTCCTCTAAAGGGTAAGTACACATTAGGTTCGGATACTCAACTCAGGGTCACTGAATTCTAGAATAGTGAATGGCACAACCAGAAGTTATTGATAACCACACAAATTACCATTTTGCATGAACTGTATAGAAGTAACAAATATAACAATTGTTATCACAAGAACATCAATAAAGTGTGGTGCGCAATCAGTGTATGTGTCTCCTTCCTTTTTTCTTAAAGTTCCTCAGTCCAGTCTTTCAAATGACCAAAAAATTGTTTCCTTTATTGGAAATCAGTTCTGTCTTTTGGGTTCCAAAAACAAGGAGAAGCAAAATAAAAATAAAATTCAACAAGAAAAATGTTCTATCTAATCCCAATCTGGAATTTAGGAGAAAGGGAAAACTGCATTCAAGGGTCCACTGAGATCCTAACGCACAGTGTTATCACATGAGACATCCAGCAGCAATCTATGACTACATGGATTCAACGATCAAGGGTGGTTGGCTCGCCATCTTCCCTCCGGAAGAATTCAAATGCATACAAAAAACCTGGCCTGCAATAAAACAGGCACATCCACATCATATTACTCAATCAACTCACAATCAATTTATATGGACCTTAATGTACATTAAACTATTTTTTAAACATTATTAATGAATTTAAATCATGAATTCAATTCCTTAAACATTCACAATCATGTGCTCAATTCACTCAACATACATATTTGAGATAAAGCTCACAGTGAATTTGCGTCAATGACGTGACTTTACGCTAACTAATTAATAATATTCAACATAGCTTTTAACTATGCATACAACTCTTACATCAAATCGATAATATTCACGTTTCTCAAATCACAAAATGTGTCCTCAACCATGCATTAAAATGGCTGCTCAACATTACAGCATTCGTTTGTACACATTGAGGTGATAATTCTTTCAAAACTCACAGAAATAATTTGATCATAACATAAAAAACATTAGAGACAAAATACAACAATATGAATCTCCTCTTTTAACTATTTAGGAGTTAATGTTAGATCGTTTAAACTCTTTAAGCTTGTTCACACTCACCGAGATTCAAGTTCACACCTAACAAAATACAGCTTCAATCCAATGGTTCAAGTGTTCATGACGACCTCAATCATCTTTTTAGAGTGATTATCAGTTTGCAATTTATGTAAATACAATGCATTTATAGAGTACTCAATTCAAACTTCCCTGCATCTGCACGACAGATCATTTCATCGCATCGCCCCAGCAAAAGAGCGGAGCTTCTTGTTTTTTTCCACCAATAGCAAATTTCCATCTGCTAACACACTCTTGTTACCAGGCAGATTTTCCGATATCAGGTTTCACAGACCAAGGTGACACAATTGGCAAGGTGACCAAGGCACAATTAATGATAATGAGATCATACAAATATGCCACAAAACCATTCATTCAGGGACTCATTTTTCTTTTATATGGATTTTGCATAGGGGTTACACTAGCGTATGATTAAAACGATGAGTGGGCCCGGTGACGTTTTGCTTGACTCCAAAAGAGTTTATTAGGTCAGTAAACGCAAGTCCTAATGCATCATTTGTATTATCAACGTGAATGTTAAAATCTCCGACAATTAGCGCTTTATCAACAGTAACCAATAGGCCTGAGAGGAAATCTGCAAATTCTTTTAGGAAATCTGTATACGGCCCTGGTGGTCTATACACAGTAGCCAGAGCAAGAGATACGATAGATTTCTTTTGCATATCTGACAGTGTAACATTAAGCATTAGTATTTCGAATGAGTTAAACCTGTATCCTGTCTTCTGAGTAACAATGAGAATATCACTATATATTGTTGCAACACCGCCGCTACGACCAGTCTGACGGGGCTCATGCTTATAACAGTAGCTTGGTGGAGTAGACTCATTTAGACTAATATAATACGAGACAATGATATACATTTAGACATGTATATCATTGTCTCATATAATGATGTATGTCAGTCAAGGTAAATCAGATGACAGGAAGGCAATTACACAGCTGTATTTTTTTTTTAACACAAGGATCAAAGTGTAGATATCTAACTGGATGTAATGTTTAGTCTGCTCAGTCTGTGCCCTGGTTCCCTGGTATCTGTTTTGTATTTGGTATTATATTTCTCCTTTTGAAAAACTCACTGCATACAGATCCAGCTCTCCTTCATTTTTCAGTTTCACTGGTTTCAGGTCCATTTTTACTCTTTGATTTGGGTTTCAGAAGCAGTGGGGTTAACGTTCTATTTTTTTTTCCAATGAGCCAGTTCTAATTCAACTGAATTACTTTAAAACTGTAGCTTGTCAAATGACAAGCAAGCTACTCGTTTTAAATAAGCTTACCAAACAGTGGCCAGTTTTTCACCTTTTCTTCTTGCATGTGTGTCTACAGATCTGTGTCAGAGTGCTTCCTGTGGTGAAGTGTTTCTGTTGGCCTCAGCAGCACTGGCAAACATCACATTCTTTGATAGCATGGCATGTGAAATCCTGCTGCAGCTCAATGCTGTTCACATCCTGCTACAGGCCTGCAGAGACCGCCAACGCGTCGACACGCCATACTCAAAAGACCAGGTACTGAGTTTTCAGACACATAAATAGACCCCATTTTTAAATTACAGTGTGTGTAATACTACTTTAATTTTGCATGTTTGTAGTTAGTGTTTATAGATTCATTCCTCTTTCCTTAATTCTGTGATTGACTGTCTGATAATTCTGTGGTTGTCATTTTCATGCTAAAACCCTTGCAGTAATAAGTGAACTGGCCTCTGGAACTGACATTCAGATATGGTAATGTGTATTTCGTTTCCGACACATGCTGTAAGTTATAGACCAATTACAACAGAGCAGAGTAGGGCTCGCAGAAATGAGGGGTTTAGACAGACTGAATCTTTGAACAAATCATTTAGACTCTTTGAGAAATTAGGTGATGTGCAATGTATATTATGCGAAAATTGAACTTGGATGCATGTAAACCTGTTGTTGGAGACCTCCAAAACAAAATTGGGAACCTTTAAAATGGCATAATAGGGGCACTTTAATAGGCGATTTTTAATAGGGGCAATGGCAATTTTATTTGTATTGCACAATTAAAACAACACAAGTTGACCAATGTGCTTTACAATGTCACACAGAAAAACACACATGACGCACATATACTAAAATATCACTGATTAAAACAGGTGTGAAAACAGGTGTGTTTTGAGTTGTATTTTAAAATTCTGTACAGTAGCTGCGTCTCTAATATGTTTCGGCAGACTGTTCCAAAGTTTAGGCACTGTTACAGCAAAGGCGTAATCTCCTTTTTGACTCAGATGTGTCCTTGGGATTTTGAGTAACTTCCGATTCGCTGATCTCAAAGGTCATCCAGTCTGATATTAAATTGAGCCGGTGTGAGTCCATGCAAGAATTTGTACACCAATAACAGAAGTTTAAAATTCTGTAATAAACTTGGGTAAAAAAAAAAAAGGGTAGGAGTAGTATGTTCACATTTTTTAATACCCATTGAGAGTTTTGAAAATGAGAAAGAGATGACTGACTGACTGGCTAATTTCATTATATAACGCACTGCAATAGTCACGTCTTGATGATTATCAAACCATGGATCACAATTTCCATGTTTTAAGATCTAAAAAACAGGCCAGAAGAGGCTGTAAACCATTTTCAGACCTTGCACTGAACCCCCACATACTCCTCCAGCCGTGAGAGCAACACTGAATGATCAATATTATTAAAAGCAGCAGCAAAGTCTAATAAAACTAACACAACATAATTTCCAGCATCCACAGTCAGCAACAAATCATTAAAAACTTTCATAAGGGCCGTCTCAGTTGAGTGGTGTTTTTTTTTTCTTCTAAAACTGTACTGGTAGATTACGCAGATCTTATTTTTGTCTAGAAAGTAATTTTAATCGATAGAGCACAACCTTTTTTTTAAATTTCAGATAAAAATGAAAGATGTTATACTAGCCTGAAGTTAGCCAGGACATTTGGGTCCAAATTTTGTTTCTTCAACAAAGGCTGAACAAATGCCTGTTTCAGCATGTCCGGATATACCCCAGTATCTAAACTTTTATTTATGATTTGTAGAATACTGGGCCCAATCACCTCAAAAGTCTCAAAAGCCATGGAGGAACCATATCTCCGACCGAGCCAGTGGGCTTCTAAAAACTACAGTATGCTGAGCAGGACTTGAGGATTTTTAAGTCATTGGTGAAAAATCCACAGCAATTGCCTCAATCATAGATATAAAATAGTGAAGAAAATTTTCACATAAAGTGGGGGACGAGACAAAATTGAACAGCGGAAGGATTTACTACAGTGTTAATATTTTAAAAAGTGTTTTGAGAATATTAGAGTTTTTCTCTCTGAGTTCTGGAAAATATCTAGATTTCGTCGATCTTACAGCTCTCTTACATTTTGTTAGTTTCCTTAAAAATGTTATTTACATATTTAACATTTAATGTTGAATTTTTACTTGATTACATTTACAGAGAAAACTGATGTTTCATTCAATACATTTCTCCAGACCCATTTGTGCCTGCAAACAGAAAAAAAGCTCTGCAGACCGGTTATAATGATGTCCTGTTTGTGAATGAATCTTTTGATAAGATTATGACTAAATGTCTTTGACCATGTGCTCCCTCAAAGACCACACATAGAACAAAGAGAACCGGCTTAAAAACACAGACTAGTTCATCAAAAGGAACTGAAACAGGCGAGTACTAATTAGCTAAGGAAATAATAATAAGCAAAGGAAAGTACTAATAAGCAAATTAAATACAGGCAAACAGACACAAGGAATACACGACACAATGAAGAAAAAACAAAACAAAACGAACAACGAACTATTTCACTGATCGTTTGGGGCAGTTTTTCTAACGATGGCGCCGACGGTGATGGCTGCCTCCGTGGCGTGCTCCGCAGTTGTTTTTATGTTTTTGTTAGTTTGTCCTGTCTTTAGTTATATCCCTGCAATCAGTTTCACCAGAGACGAATTGCTGGACATTCGGCAGTACACACCACCTGATATTTCACCGGTTTTCGACTATTCTGCTGGACATTGTAGTCGGGGGAGCAGCGGCGCTGATCAAGCGCTTCAGGATGCGCAGACGGGGGAAGCGAGCCGGCGCGCTCGTCAAGCTCAGGCAGCGCGGATTCAGAACGCCGTTGCCGAGCATCCATATGGCGAATCTCCGCTCTCTACCCAACAAAACGGACGAACTCCTTCTGCTCTCCCGGACAAATAAGGATTTTTCAAACTCTGCTGCTCTGTGTTTCATGGAAACCTGGCTGAAAGATGCATTCTGTTACACTGTGGAAACTTCTGTCACGAAAACAAATTCCTCGTATGTGTAAACATACCTGGCAATAAAGCTCATTCTGATTCTGATTCTGAAAAATTATAATTATTTACGCACCTTCATGTTGATATTTTAAAATGTCTCAGTGTTTCTGTTTGGCTCACTGGGGTCCAGTGTTGTTTTGGATCATGGGATTTTTTCTTACAATCCCTTTAACTCTTTTTTTAATTGTAGTGTTGCAGTCTTCTTATCTGCATGCCACATTTGTTTCCCCAGAATCACAGTAATGACACAATGCTTCATTCCCTGTAGGTTGTGACAATCCTTGCAAATCTTTCTGTTCTGGAGCAGTGCACTGCAGATGTTCTAGAGGAGAAGGGTACGCAAGCATAACATCCCCAAATCAACTATTCAAAGCAAAATATTTTGGTGCCTTCCTAACATTCCTGTTCATTACAGTGTAAATGCAACATTTCAGAGTGACATACAATGTCTGAGTGCTGTGAGTGTTTACTTTAGGTATCGAGCAGCTGCTGGTGTTGCTCAATGAGAAGCCATCATCCTCCAGTCCGTCCGAGAGTGCAGCATGCGAGCGGGTTCAACAGAAAGCTGCCGTCACACTGGTTCGTCTCAGCAGAGACCCGCTGGTTGCTCAGACAGCCATACAGCTCAAGGGTACAAGACAACATAACAGCCTCTACAATGCAGCTCAAAACAACTATATCTTCACACAGCTCATATTTAGCCCAAAAAGGGATTTGGACCCCTTAAGATGTGTCATTGCATTAGATCTCGAAATATAAATAAGCAAGTGTCACCTGCACTCAAACGCTGTACAAGCTTATCTCAGGAAAACCTTTCTTAGTATTTGTACAGTTTTCTTAGCTAGACTGGATGTGTAAAGCTCACACTGACATCTTAGCAGATGTTTTTTAAACTTTTAATATCTTTAGATTGTGAGCAGCAATACTTTATTTTTTCCTCAGCTGTTCCTCGCCTCATTGAGTTGTGTCGGTCACCAGCGGAAAGGAACAACAGCGATTCAGTACTTGTGGCCTGTCTGGTAACTAAAGTTAAAAATCATGTAAAAACATGTTACCAAAACCAAATATCAGTGGACTTTCTCAGTTGTTCCCAAAATATTAACATAACCACACACCATAAAATTAGGGGCAGTCGTGGCCTAATAGTTAGAGAGCCAAACTTGTAACCTGAAGGTCGTGGGTTCGAGTCTCAGGTCCGGCAGGAATTGTAGGTGGGGGGAGTGAATAACCAGCACTGTCTTCCACCTTCAATACCACGACTGAGATGAGACCCTTGAGCAAGGCACTGAACCCCCAACTGCTCCCTGGGTGCTGCAGCAATATAGCTGTTCACTGCTCCGGGTGTGTGTGTG